CGCCAGAGTGAGCCATGCTAGATCGCCGAGGTCAAATCTTTCGCTGCCAATTGCGCGTCGGTCCGCACCCTCAGGAGGTCCGCCTGTCTCCCAACTAGGCAATTTTCCCTTCTTTGACCTTCGTTCTTATCGTGAATCCTCCCTTAAATCGCATAGCGGCCGATAGCACTGGCGGAGCTTGCGCCTTGCCCTTGTGAGAGTCTCATTGATTGGTCACTCTTCAGGTGGGATTGAAGTATGTACAGTGAAGTACGATAAAAAGGCGGAACCATCCAATAAATTTTCATAGGCGTGGAGCGCAAATACTCCCCATACCACCGGTTTTAAGATGATCTGAAGTGTTTTTGGAAGTTTTTATTCGTTTCTTTCATCGGTGGTGGATCATTACCACAAGTGTCTTAAATATCCAACACAATAGTCCACCTACTCAGTCTTGAGATGTGCATCCAATCGAGTCATATATTAATGAGTCGAATCAAAATTACAACTAGATTTCGTACACTGATTAAGATATGTATTATCATATGGATAGCTTTTATCCATAGGCTAATTTTAGGGCATCGTTTAGTCTTTAGTCATTATTGAGTTTTTGTTTTTCTATTTTTTTTCTTGTGTTGCTTTATAATTGTAAAATTATCTCACTCGGTCAACCTCTCCAGCCTAGTATTGTCACGGATCAGCGCGTTCACTACGCATAAATAAATAAACAAATATGTTCAAATAGTATATTTCAAGGAAGTAAAGTGAAAAATTGCGATGTAAATAGAATTTTTTGAGAGGAACCTCGCATCCTATTCCCCCTTAGATTAGGCATTTCTGAGGTCGAAGAGTAAAGATTAAATTGTGAATCAGAAATATCCGGTCAACCCCGCCACAAGGCATCAGGATTTTCTTATAAACGTTACGGCGCTTGAATGTCAACAAAGGAGCTCATGCCCAATGATTGTTGATTGATGATCGAAAGGTATCAATGCGAATTTTGATTTGAAAAACTGATAAGAATATTGATCCTTTTGCCTTTTATTTCTTTTCTAGGCAGCCATTCTCAACAAACTTATCATGGAAATAAAGAAATTCGTCGCTATCATATCACGGGATAGTCAGAACTTATTTCATGGTATAAACTCGACGCAATGACGCTGGTAATGCCTGATCTGAAAGTGGCGCGACCTTAATCCCTGATCACAGATTACCGTGTAACACCTGTCAACTGAGTGTGAACAACAGACAGACAAAAACAAGCATAAATTGAATCACGCATAGGATTGCATCGTTTTGTGGGAAGGCTCCGAAGGGTCAAGTATGGTGATTTGAGGTTGACGTAAATCGAAATTCGTTCGAGAGCACAAGATAAGCCTCCAATTCGATGACAGAGCACGAGAACAATCCAGCGGGCCGTATATGCAAGCAAGCATCCGCAGGTCCTGAGGGCTTTATCCCCCCAGCGTCACTGCAGGCAAAGCCCCGCCACACCAGGACGGGGATACATCGCGGCTTCGTCTGCATACGGCCCAGATGTTACCAGTATATCGAGTCCACAACAGATTCGGTTAGATTCCCATCAACTTCAAATTCATATTGGAGCTTCATATCCCGCTTCAACAACCAGTCTACTTGCGGTTTTAGGTGTGATTTACTGGAGTATCAGTTTATCAGTTTAGCGGCCATGCTACAATGGTGAGAAGCCCCTGAAGAGTGGGCAGCTCACTGACGGACTACACCACACAAACAATGCTAAAGGCCAGAAGATTGTCCCCCATACTAGTCTAGATCAGGGGCGTGCCCCAGAGCTCCATGAGAAAGAGACAAGACACTGCTCTCTCTTGAAGCACACCACCTCTGGTTGATATCAAACAGCTGCCAAGTTCATTCGTCAATGTCAGAACCTCACGCCTCGAGTTCGCGCCCCGTAACCACACATCTACTAAAACGTGCTCTCTAAGTCGCTTGGTGAGCATGATCCACTATGCCACATTCGACCATGAAGTAACGAGGACGGGCGACAGCAATTCCAACCATTTGTCGTTTCGCTCTTATCAGGAGTGTGGCTCTCACCAGTTCTCCAGAGCCTTCGCGCACATGAGATAGAATGATGCCATATCTCAAAGGGAAGTCATAGTAAGGAGAAAGTTATAGCGACGCTCCGCATCTTCATTGACTGTGAGTTACTTAAAAACAGCGCGAGCAATTCCACAAGAACGCCTCTGAGAAGAAAGCGCGGTTCTCAACTTCGGGGGTTACACTTTCGTGTGGAGTTATTTTTCACCTTTGCAGATACCTTAGAGTTTTTCACGTAACGAAGAGTCGTTGAAAATCATTATATACCCAAATGTTTTCATCAGATTATCGTCATATTTCGAAGTGTTCCAGACTTCTTTCACGGTATGCCTAAGAAAAACGTGATCTTCAAATTTCCTTCCTTCAAATCTTACGCGATATTTCATGAGCCCCGTTGGATTTCATTTCTAGAATATTCTCATGCTATCTGAGTGCGCTATTCAAATGCTAATTGTAAAACGAAATTCCAACGGAGAAACAACAAAACCGCAAGTGCATCCGTACTTCCGTCCCACGTTGAAAGTGCAAAGAAATGGTCGTCAGAAGCGGCTAGAGAGGACAAAAAGCGAAAACGCAAAATCGAAATTGCAAAAAAGAGTCCTTCTGGCCTCAACGTTGGTTTTTTGCAATATTTCATATTTCATGAATAAGGCATATGTCTTAGTGCTGCTAGAATAAGACTGAAGTCGACTGCGCTACTCTCTCGAAAAGAAATTTCCAAACAGGCCAAAGTATTATACACAGGAGGGGCAATAAGAAATGACATTTTCCCAACAGTCAAATCGATTTAATATCATTGCTAAATCCAAACCAAATGCTCCCAACTTAAAATTGAAGAGCACATTCCATTTTATGAAGAAAATCTTCATAGTGGCCACACGTGGACGGCATCAGAAGAATTTGCCCCGTGAAACATGGTGCACTGGTTGAGTTTCAACAAGATCCTCGATGGATGTACCATAGGGACTCATGGGTTTTTTCTGGAAAGCGGCTTCGGGGCTTCGGGGGGGGGATTTGCATAGTCAGAGCCAACGTTACTAGCAAACTATCCAACATTAAATCGATTCAAGTAGTGTAAGAGCTTCAGGCTGAAGCAGCTTACGGTAGACCTCCTTGAGCTCGACGACGGTGACAGATGACGTCATATTCTGAAGACGTGAGGGCAGTAAGGGAAAGTTTGCGTCCACTAATAGACGGACATTTGAGGCTTCAGCTCTGGCAATCTTTGCGTCGAAAAAAAGTGCAGAAATGAGACATGCACAAAATGTCCTTTTTGCCCCCTCCCCTATAGCAAGTATGATAGTATATGTCTACGTATAAAATGCGATATAATATATAGAAGAAAACGTCACTACAGGGCCATGTTTCCGAAAAGGTCCTTCTACATTCCCAAGTCTCGCTGGCGATTTAAAACGGTCATCAGCGAACGATAACCAGATTATCACCATATAGAAAGGGGACACTTAGGGAACCACTGATATTTGTAAACATGAAAAAGTAGAAGAATATGCGAACGGTTCGACAGTTACGTGTATTTTTAACCGACTGATTAGTCATTGAGGCGTCCTGGATGTGTGCGACTAATCGAGCTCATTAGCTTTTGAGGTGACTTGGACAACTTTACCTATGTGAACGAGTCGTCTCAAAGAGAACATCCCAGGAGAACGGCCTACGCTGTCTGACTTCTAACCATTTAGGTTTGGGCATTCAAGATGAGTTGATGTACACGCCCACCTGAATGAAGCTCCTTCCACAAGTGCCACACGAGTACGGCCTCTCGCCAGTGTGTGTCCTCTCGTGCGATTGAAGGTTACCTTGACTGGCGAACGCCTTGGGACAGTAACTGCAGCGGTACGGTCGCTCACCAGTATGAGTCCTAACGTGTACCTGCAAGCAGAATATTTTATTATTGAAGATCTATCGCTATACTGCTGATCTCACCTGCAAACTGCCAGCGTAAGCAAAGCTTTTGCCGCAAAATCGGCACACATGCTTCCTCTCATTCTGCTCGTGCACCTGCTTCACGTGAAGTTTCAAGTAGTTTTTCAAGGTGAATGTCTTTGGGCAAAACTCGCACTGAAATCACAATACTGCTGTATAAAGAGAGGAAGCCGTGAATGGCTGGGTTCAAATGGAAGGAGGAAGGATCAAGGTCACGAAGGAAGTTTCAATTACCTGGAACGTCTTTTCCCCGTGGGTTTTCTTGTGCGTGTATAGGGCACTTGGTGACGAAAGACACTTATCGCACTTAGGGCATTTGTAGTTCCGAATTCCTAAATAAAATAGATGCTCTACTTCAAATAAGGAATCCTCTTGTTTGCGGGAAGCCGAAAGTGAATGCACAAGCCGACTTACCGAGATGGGCGCTCTTTTCGTGTACCGTTTTCGTGGCCATACTGGGCGAACGTCTTTTCGCAGTAGCGACATTTATAGCTAAACTCAGTCACAATAATGGACTATCTTGGGTAGCTGTTGAGTGCAGGCTCTCCCTTCCTAGGAATATTTTAGAGGCGGTAATAAAACTTTACTCACGGTCGTTCTCCAGTATGAGTACGTTCGTGCACTTGCAGGGTTGCCTTCTGAGCAAATTTTTTGTCGCAGAAATGGCAATTGAACGGTTTCTCCCCAGTGTGACCATCGTTTGTGTGATTCCAAAATAGAGTGGTACGGAAAACCCTGAAAGCTGTTCATTTGAAAAAAAAACAATATGGTAATTATACAGCTGGTCAGTTTATAAGCGTGGCACGTATAAGACCAGTTTGCTGGAAATTATGAAAATAAGAACGTTAGCCTCTAAGGTGGATTATCGAAAAGCCGTAACAACATTTCTTCATTTTTCTTTCTTTCCTTGTCATTTTTCTTTTTGTTATTCTAATATTTTCGTATTTTTAAATCCTGTCAGGAAATGGTAATCACGTTAGGTGCAAAAGCTGCACTTTTTATCTGCACGATAGCGTGGTCAAGCGCGAGCAGTACCTACTGAGCTATAAGATCGGAACAAAGAGAGCAGAGAACAAAACTTTACCTTCCCACAGATATCGCAGATGTGTCTCTTCTCGATGTGATTACCAGAATTTGGTGCACCCAGCACAGTTCCAAGAACGACAACCTTAAACATCACGTTTGACAACAAAATCTAGACAACCACTGGTTTTTGAACCTCCCACTGGTTAACATTAACACGGGTAAAACTTAATGGAATGAGGGATGATTTTGGGCTCTTATGTTTTGTGGGTACTAAGGAAAACGTACAAAAAAGACAAGCCCCACACAGGAACGACGGAGGACGACTATTTAGCGACACAGAGCGTCTACGTTGGGTGCAATCCGGAGGAGTCATCAATTGCCTACCGTACCTACTGGGCGGAAGCGGGGTAGGGGCAAGTGCCGCTGCTTGCTACGTGCGTAGTCCGGGTATCAAAGCCCGGCTCAGGCGTCGCGCGGGCCAACCAAGCCCTGCAACCATCCAAGATAGGAATGATAAAAGGTTTGGCTTGTCCGACATGGTGGAGTATAAACACTGACTCGCCCGGCCCCGAAGGTCTCTGTCTAGGGGTATAGGCCACATCGCATTCAAATGCCACTACGAATGTACAAATGGAAGTAGAATGCGTGCCGCATCCCAAAAAGGGATTGATCAACGGCAAATGCTTTATCCTTTTATTTTTGACCGTACTTACTGTGCTACCGTAATTGCACTCCTACATACCTCAGCAGTTGATGTCTGCGGGGTGTCTCCTACAAGCATGATGGGTGCGACGTTTTCGGGTGACGTGCGTGCTCCTTGAGGCGATTCTCCCAGTACTGAAGACGAAGTTTCGCTGCCATCCTGCAAGTACACATTTTCATGAAGAGCACGCATTACAACAGGCACGTCCGACCTACCAATTCATCGATGTCTGGCGATTCGACGTCAAGCATCTCTTCGTCTTCTCCGTTCTCGAGAGCAATACGCAGTGCTTCATCGTCGTCGGCGCAGTCTTCGTCATACTCCTCCCGATCCAAATCCTTTTCGTGCGAACTCTCGTTCAGCTTCATCAGCACATCGTACGGCGGCGCGTTCTCCACGTCCACCATTTCGCTGATTCGAGCCGCTTTTCTTTTCCTGGTAACTGGTTCCAAATCTGTAATTATTAAGTGAGTCTAACATTACTTGGGTTGGAGTCACTACGGTCGCAGAACGAAACGATTGAGGGAATTTAGATTGAGGAGGGGAAGCCATGAGTCATCAAGCGATGATTTTGTGAGGGTATAATGAACACTAGCTTGAGAGATGTACAGTAACAATAAGGAATGAAGGAAGCAACTGGTGGGAACACGTAAAAATATTGATAACAGTACCTAAATTTATTTTGCGTGTTGCAATACCCTGACTGGTTTATACATAAAAGAAAGAAACCAATGAATTGCCTAGCTATCTTATCTTTCCCGCAGAATAAGTTGACAGGGTTCAGCAGAACTTTGGAAGGTTCGAATGGCCTAAGGCTTTTCCGAAGGTATTTTCCTTTCTAACTACATTTCCGGGCGGAAGTGGTGTAGTGACAAGTGGCGCGCTTACCACGCGAGCGGTCCGGGGATCAAATCCTGGGTCGTGAGTCGCCCGGGCCAACCGGGGTCGGTTAATTGGTACCAGACTTGTCTGGGAGGATAAAAACACTGACTTGTACATCGGCTGGCCCCGCAAGTCATTGTATAGGCCACATCGCATTCAAACGCCACTACGAATGTACAAATGGAAGTAGAATGCGTGCCGCATCCCAAAAAGGGATTGATCAACGGCGCTTATCCTTTAATAGGAAGGATACCGCGAGGGAGATTGTAAGGTCCGCACCTACCTAGATCACTACAGCTTCATCGCATGAAATTGCGTTAGGGCGCTAATCCTTACGGGCCTGCAACCATCGACCCCCGTTGCAACGCTTCCCACCCACCGCGAGAGATGGTGAGATCGGCGTGCATCGTTTCGTTCTGCGACCGTAGTGACCCCAGCCCAACTAATGTGAGACTTACTTAATAATTACAGATTTGGAACCAGTTACCAGGAGAAGAAAAGCGGCTCGAATCAGCGAAATGGTGGACGTGGAGAACGCGCCGCCGTACGATGTGCTGATGAAGCTGAACGAGAGTTCGCACGAAAAGGATTTGGATCGGGAAGAGTATGAGGAAGACTGCGCCCGACGACGATGAAGCACTGCGTATTGCTCTCGAGAACGGGGAAGACGAAAGAGATGCTTGACGTCGAATCGCCAGACATCGATGAATTGGTAGGTCGGAACGTGCCTGTTGTAATGCGTGTTCTTCATGAAAATGTGTACTTGCAGGATGGCAGCGAAACTTCGTCTTCAGTACTGGGAGAATCGCCCCAAGGAGCACGCACGTCACCCGAAAACGTCGCACCCATCATGCTTGTAGGAGACACCCCGCAGACATCAAATGCTGAGGTATGTAGGAGTGCAATTACGGTAGCACAGTAAGTACGGTCAAAAATAAAAGGATGAAGGAGTTCCGTTGATCAATCCCTTCTTGAGATTGCGGCTCGCATTTTACTTCTATTTGTACATTCGTAGTGGCATTGCGTTCGATAAGGCCTAGACCCCTAGACAGAGACCTTCGGGGCCGGGCGAGTCAGTGTTTATACTCCACCATGTC